TGCGAAGGGCCGTTTAAAAAAAACGCTCTTGTAGCCCCGTCTTTCCCACCAGGACGACGTCCACAGAAATGAAACATCTTCTTGCTCAAGAGGTTGTCCCTCGTCGGAGTGCAAATCGTCATCTTACAAAACCTCCAAATGTTGTTCAGCCCCAATAAGCGTAACAAATAATTATTATGAGAGTACTGATGATGAGTACGAGCCAATCAGAGGCGTAGTAAAGGGAAGTACAGGACCAAATAAGGACGCAACGTCTCGCCCACATATTATTACTAGTGTGAAGATAAATATAAAAAGATATAAAATACTTCAGCTGAACAGGCAACAGTTTTTAGTGGAAGTTTGTTAGTTTTGATCTTTTTTATGGGATTCATTGACAGTAAAGAAAATAGGAAATCTCTCATCCTTTAACTGGAGCACAGGACGAGTACGCAGTAAAAAGGTACAAAGAAAGAACTCTAAATAATAATAATTTATTTAATAAAATGCAACGTCTCAAATGTCTCCCATTGGTTCTCAGTGGCGGGGTCTCTGTGAAAAACAATTGGCGGCGACTTCAGCGACTCCCCGCCGGTGCAAAAGGCCGAGGCTCCGGGACACGAGTCCAAACGGCCGAGGCTCCGGGACACGAGTCCAAGCGGCCGAGGCTCCGGGACACGAGTCCAAGCGGCCGAGGCTCCGGGACACGAGTCCAAACGTCCGAGGCTCCAAAACACTCCGGCGCCATTATCAAAACCACAATTCATCTCATTCTTAAAAAAGCGATCTGGGCGCAATTGATGGCGAGCATCAGGGCTGCCCGCCCGGCGGGAAGCTAGCGGGGTCGTGACCTTGTGAGGATGTTTCATCCTCTCCTGGTCTTCCTGTACAGTAATACCTCAGCTGGATCATTTGGTCCGTAAAGCTTAAGACTTTCTGGGAAATTGGATTTGAAGCTGAGCGAAGGCCCCGGAGGCTGGAAGGCGACTCTTTTTTTCATCCTTCTTTCCTCTGTATTTTTACAGGAGGGGGCGGGGGGGGTACGCCAACACGCCTGCACTAAACTCTACATGGGGAGTTTAGTGGCACGAGTACAGTCGCCTCCTGAGGGAGAGCAGAGGTCACAAATCGCTATCAAGGGGAGAAAAGGAAATAAAAGAGAGACCTTGGAAGGAGCTTCCTGTGAGGAATTGCAATCTCCCTGCTGAGCCCCGACCCCCCTCCCGAGTTTGACACTTTTATACTGTATATCACGCAGCACTGTCAGCGTGCCCCCCCCCCTCCACCAGGGCCCCCCCGAGCGCACTCTCTCTCCTGGTGGCTCGCTTTAAAGAAACATTAGTTAAAAACGTACTCGTGTGGAGGAGGAGGGGGGGTCACTTCTAAATTGATTGCATTATTCACGTGTGACGCTCGGTGTGCTTCTGTGCCTCGTTGCTCACAGTGAACGCACCATTATCCTGAACACGGGATCATTCCTTCAGAGGCACACATGACACACGCATGACACACGCCACACACACGCCGATGCTCGTAATCCCTTTCACAGAATTCATCGAATTTTAAGTCCACAAGATCACCGTCAGAAATAACGTATTCTTCATGACATCTTTGTCAACGGAGCCAATCAATACAGTTATTGATTGTACGGATTTGATATGAACGGAACTGATTGGAGGTGGAATATAAAAGAAGGTAAATTCCAGTCAGCGTAATACTTCTGCATGAAACGCAAACAAATATCTGGTTGTCAGCTTGTAGCAACGTACGATGTCGGTGAATCCCACGAATCAACGGATAGCAACAAAATGAGATGTGGACCAGAGGGAACTGTGTGTATTTACGCTTTGGCGTCAAATCCTCTCGACGAGATCAAAGCGCTAAACGTTGCTCTTGTGAACCAGAGTTCTGTGCGTCATTATTGTCAGACGGTTCACGAGGAAGAAAAGGAGGAAACGCGTGTTTGCGGGGAGGTTGTCTGCGGTTCACAGGGCATCAAAGGGAGTCTAGAGATAGAAAATGAATGTCTGTCAGAGTCACATGTTCTGCCTTAAATACGTTTGTTCCTCTCCGTTTGATGTCTGCTGAGGTGTAGTAACACATCTGTTTGACACGACTGGAGCCGATAAACACAGGGAGGAAAACGTGCAGCGATTCCTCACAATCTTATTCTTTTTTTGGTTTATTGTGTCATACAGGAAGTAGAAAATACATCAAAACATATTCCCTCCTAGTAACAACTCATTATGCGCAGCTAAATACTGAAAACATCACCAAAGAAAACTAAAACATTATATATATAAAAACCTATACAAATATGTATTTAGTTACTAGTATATTTAGTTACTGTGGTTTGTTTTTTTAGACTCTTACCTTTTTTTATTTTGTCTATCATTATAATATATTTACTTACTTATTACTGCTGCTCTAGTATTGTTGTTTTTTACCAGGTATCTTTGCTGGACTAATAAAGGAATATCTGATCTTAAATACACTTGATTGTTGAAATAAGAGAGAGGAAGACATTTTATATGGTTATAACACAATGTAATCACTCTAATATCCATTACGCTTCACAACAACAGTTGTAATAATTACTTATGAGGTCAAATATCATTAGCTTTCGATTCCTGGTCACTCGCTAACCTTTTTCAGCTAATGTTGTATTATAAGTACCGTACTTCATTTATATGCATTGTAATCAGTTTTTATGCCCTTTAAGGTGATTTCACATTATTCCAAGTGATCGTAAAGTGGATTACATGAAATTAAACAAAACAAAAACATTTTAAAAATGAATTTCCACTCAAAGCAAACTGTGAATCACAGAAATAAAACAGTCTCAAAACGCCCTGATCCTTGTGTGTTCGTCACAAGGATCAACACTTTATATAAAAGGTGTTTATGTCTGTCACACACACACGCGCACACACACACGCACACACGCGCACACACACGCACTCCAAATCAGAGCTCACTGAAACAGCAGGCGCACGTGACACCTAACTGGGGCATGATGGGAGAACGGCGTTACGTCTGGCCAGATTAATGACTTCATCACATCGGTGCAGCTTCTGACCGTAACCTTTCCTCAAACACGCTTTCTCACGCTGCTCTGTAATTAGGGTTTGCATTAATGCAGCGGTGGTAGAAGTGAGGTGTCTTTGCAGACAGAGCGAGCTGACGCGCTACGTCGTTTATTAGTCTTCTCGGTGTGTTTTTTTCCTTTGGGGGGGGGGGACAAGGAGCAGGTCAAAGGGCGCGCTGCTACAACGCTGTTTGTGGTGCGCTGGAATGGAGAGGTCAGGTTGGCGTGTGATCCATACGTAGTTGGAATTGACGGAGTTTATTACTGACTAACTTTAGCCTGTAGTCCAGTTGTTCGGAGGCAGCGCAGCGGTAAATATATGACTGAGACGACTGGTAATAATTCCATATATTTGTTTATATAATTTCAGTGTTACCTTTTACAATATTCTGCATTCCAGATGAATGATTTCAATCTACTAATATGACTGATTTGAATAATATCATTATGTTCTACTGAGCAACCGTCACAGGAAAGAACCGGATCATAAATGCAACAGGCGAGTGAGGCTCAGAGCCGCAGTGACCTATTGACCTATGGAATGAAACTGTTCTTGTGACCTCCATCGGTCTTTTTAGGAGAGCAAAGGGGCCCAAGTCACCTGCCCCCTCCTGCAGCTCCAGCTCTTAGTTATTATCTGGCGAGTAGAGCAAGTAGAGCTGAGCACAAGCGAGGAAAACAATTGTTGCAAAGCAGCATGGGAGGCCGCTCGGTGCCCCCCCCCCGCCAGTGGCCCCGTCTCGGTGACCCCGCCTTGGTGGCCCCGCTCTGAAATGTCTGCTCCGGCTTTGGTTCGGTTTCTAAAGGGGTTCCTGGGGGCCTTCGTGCTCCCGGTCGATGCCCCACACGCACAAACGTTTGCAAAGGCGCCGCGCCGCAGAGGAAGAGGAGGGAGAGGCAGACGGTGGATAGAGATGACGAGTCGATGGCGCCCGCGGCGGGAAGATAAAAGACGAACCGTCGTTACTGCACAAACACACGGGGAAGAGGTTTGCGTTTGATGGACGCTCTGAAGTGAAACCTCATTATTTCCCCTTTCTCGTCCGCGCCGTCAGTCAACAACAAGTCGTTCTTCCTCGTGCGGCTGAATTATGAGCCCGCCTCGAAAAGCTCATTAGAGACGACAATGCTTCGTCTGCTGGCTGGCAGTTGATCGCAATGTAAGAAGTGTAGGCATGTGAGCTTTGGGACATATGGGGGGGACAGATCTCCGGAGCCCTTTGGGCGGCAGCTGGTTGCCAGGCAACAAAAGAGCTCTGGGTTTTTTTAGGTGGGTGAGGCATCTTTACAGTGATAAGACGGCGAGATGTTGCAGCTTCATTCTGGATCTCGTCACAAATTCCAAAGCGGACGACAGGACGTCAAAAACATCGAATTGAAGAAAATGTCTTACGCGTCCTAATTTCTGCCTCGTCTTTAAATGGAGACAATCATTACAGCTGTGTCTTTGTTTTGGGGATTACAGAAATGAAGCGATAAATCCCCATCCTCCAGTGGAGGATTAGGGCCATTTGAAGTACATTATGTAATATTATCCCCCCGTTTTTCTGATATTTCTGTGCTTTCATCTTAGAATCGTGAGCTTTTTTTTCTGAATTTTGACCTTAATCAAAAAGCTCCAATGATTTGTTCTCCCCAAAATAGTCTTTCATACTCCTCTTAATGGAGATCTGAGTGAAGCTCCTTTTCCCCGCTATGAAGATGCATTATTTCATATCTCAGGATGTCTCAAAATTCTCAGAAGCCAGAGAAAAGGGAAGTCAGTTCAACATCAGAGTTGTGCAAGTATTTAAAATGATTTTCTCAGTTGTCTTTACCTTGATGATCCTGTTATGTAATTTAAACATACAGCAAAATATATTGTGAAACAATACTGATACCAGAACCACCTTTGATGATTTTAATATTTAAAGAAGAAGAGCTTCCTCTGAGCTTTCCTCCGAACTGCGAAACAAAAACAGGCCGATTAACTTTTTCTTACCCCGGACTAAAGACGCCGTACTGACTCTCAACAAGTTGTCGAGAGGACGAACAGCCATTCAGCCCGGAAGGCACAACAGCCCTAAACCATTACGACAGTATTCGCTTGCAGGGATAAACAGACACATTTCATCCGGGTGGGGGTTGCATCCTCTGTGAAAATGGCAACCTTTCCCTGTAACACCTGAATGAATAATTCAACACTCTGGGCTCTATCAGAGCTGTCAGAAATGTCAGCCGATTGGAAGTACCCTTGGCTGCCCCCGGAGGATGTTCACTCCGCACCCTGTGGTGGGGGTCTCTCTCTGTCTCACACTCTCTGACACTGACACACACAGACACACACCTTTTCCAGTGCCAGAACTCCACTAGCTGCAGGACACTGAAGCACCGAAAGCTGAGCATTCAAAAAAGAAAGAAAAAGAAACTCCCCTCAGCGAGCTAGACGGAGGCTTTCTGCTGGTGTGAGAGGAGTGTAGATGACCAACCGTCACACCTTGCTGCCTGCTGTGGAATGTGGAGCGCTGCTGTTGACGGATCGGTGCACGGCCTTTGGTGGGACGTCTGCAGTGGCCTAGGAGCCATCGGGTGAGGAAAAGGGGCATCAGCTTGGACGGGAGATTCGTGGAGAGTTTCTTTCTGCTTGGTTCTTTCATGTGCTACAAAATCCATTGAATCCATCAGGTGATAACAGAGGACGCTTGTTTCCTGTGGCGGCTGGTGGAAAATGTTCCATGTGGCAATTAAGCAACCCAAAACACAGCAACACTACTATGCAGTTATATTATTATTATTATATTAATCATTTATTCCAGTAAGTAAATAACACACAATCTGGTATAATACATTTATATCATATAATTATATGAAGTATAATATAACATAATATACATAACAAAATCAGGGTTCCAGAATGTAAATGCTGAATTTTGGTGGTTAAAAATGCCACTCCGCTAAATGTCATGACTTTTCATATTTAGCTTGAGATGAACTGGACAAGAACCAAGCTGGGCTCCGGTCCGCGAGCTGCGGCACCCAAAAGGACAAAGGAAAGGTGGCGGAGAGCACGGAAATGCCACCGTGGTCATATTTCACCGCCAGGCTTCTATACGAGAGCTCCTGCCTCATCTCACGCCCCCCGTTTCTCCGCAACGCTGTCTCTCTTCATCTTCCTCCTCACATCACCATCACCATCATAATCATCATCAACCCCCTTTTCCCCGGCGCGCCACTGCTGATGGATGAGCTTGTTTGCTGCAGCTCTCGAACTGGGACGCCATTGTTGCCACTCTGCTATTCAGGTGGACACGTGAATGCTGTGTGCGCCCGCTCAGAAAAACACATGTTCCAATACACGCATGCATGCATATCTCTATCTCATTGTCTGTATGACTACAGCATGCATGCAGTAATAAACAGAGTAACGCTTCTGGCGTTTGTATTAAAAGCCCCGCAGAGAGCGGAATCAGAAGCGTTGCAAATGCAATAACATTGCAGGAATCGGCAGAAGATGAGATTGCCTTGTTCTCCCTCCGTTGTCATTTACAGTGTACGCGGGGCCCCGTTCTAGTTCGCTGTAGCCGTAGAGACAATGGATCGGCCAATTCAGCGCCTCCCAGCAGCCTTGTTTTGTGTTAGATCGAGGCTGAAGCGTCACTCCGCATTATTTCCGACCACAATAACTTGCAAAGCGTCTCTCCTAAAATACATTTCCACCCAAATGCCGCCGCACCGTGATGTGTCAGTTTTGATATGGACCCTCCGTATTTGCCGGCAAGCCTCAGCGACTGAGCCGGCCGCACAATAACTATGATGAATGCAGTGTCCATAGGAACAAACCAGCCAATTGACACCCCCCCCTCTCCCCCCTCTCTCTCTAATGCATTATCTGCTGATATCCCAAAGATCCGAGGCGGGCTGTTTGAAGCCTCGGCCGTGTTGCTGATTATCAGACTTGACTCTGCAGAGGCCGACGGGGCCTTCAAAACCAACTCGGGGACTCTCTACAACCCAAATCGCACTGAGGGCGGTTCAAAGTAAACTGGGTCACGTGTGTGCGTTTTTCCATCCTCGGACTGCGAGTCCGAAATGTGTTTTCATCTGGGCTGGAACATTTTTGATGTGCTTGAGGGCAGTAAGTGTCCATTAAAAAAGCGACTGGTGTAGGATGGGGATGCTCTGTGAAGACCGGAGAAGAGAAGGGGAGGGAAAGATGTGAGGAATGACAGATAGACCCCTGCCAGGGAATGCAGGCGAATCGATTACTCACATATACACATACATTTATGAGCATTAGCAGTTCAAGGGAGGAAGAACACTGTGTAATGGGACCATGTAGACTTTCTGATCTTTAGCAGCACTAGCAGATGGGATAATTCAGAACTCTTTCAAAAGTGAGGGAGAGTTTGGATTCTATCAAATTAGCCATTTCTAATTTCGAGTGGGATGAAGTCTTTGAAGTTAATCCTGATTCAGGCATCAAAACGATTTGGTGATTGGGTGTTTAATTGGGATGTGGAAAGGCATCTGAGAGACAATGTTATAAAGTTTCAAGCGCTTCTTAGCTACACAAAGGAAAGCAAAAAAACTTTATTGAAACTGAGTGCAATCATGTATTTTAATAAAAGCAGTGCGCGTATGCATGAGGCATTACGGTAACAGCGTGTCGGATCTGACTTCCAAATAAGAGCCGTTCCAGTGAACGTGAAGACATGCCACATAGGATTAATAGGTCAGTCTAAAAGTCTGTAAATCATAGATTAAATCATTTTGATATCACTTTTCTCCTGTCAGAGCTTTATCTTTGATATACATTGTTATTGACTAAATTAATCAGGATAATTAAGGATGTGACATGACAGGTTAATTGGAAATAGCCTCTTATTTTGAAATCAGTCACTACACGCTTTTACCGTAATGTCTCTAATGCGGTTTAGAAGATGACTGACTGACAAAAGTAAGTAAATAAAACAAAAACCCATACAGATATCGCATCCCCATGCCGCTGTTTACACGTGTTAAATATAATACAACATATGAAAGTAACGGTGGGGGTTGTGACTTGACAGCTGATTGTGATTTAAATCACGTTACAGTGAAGGATTCTAACAGGTGGATGAAAGTCTGGCTAGTGAGCGTGATACAGTAGCATCGTGACTAGTAGCGACTATTCATACATCAAACCAACGTTACGTCAAGGATGTTTTATTTTAGGAGATTCATTCACGATGCCTCGTAAAAAAACGTTTCTATTCATTCAATTGAAGCTCTACAGTATGATCATTATATACTGCGAAATCCCCAAATCACTTTGATCCCACAGGACGACATTAAACTGACCACTTTAGAGACCACAGCTAAGCTAGCCACCTTTAGCTGGAGAGCATGTTAGCTAACGTTAGCTCGCTATGCTAACACCTTTCGTTCTGTGTTGTCACAGGTAAGTTATAATGTATAAAATAACTGAGTTTGTGTGCAGCTAACTTAGATGTTGGTTAACTGAAATGGACACCGGCCACAAGAGAAAGAACGAGGGTGGGTTAGTGGTCGGGCGAACGGGTAGTAGAGACAACCAAACGGAACGTTAACTGACGTTACTTACCGTGGGCGCAAAAACGAGTCGATATAAAAAAACAACAACAACGTCAGCTGTCAGAAGCGAGGGAACCGTCACAACCACTGCGTACATTCTCGGTCATTACCTTACTCCGGATGACTTGCGCTGGTTGGAGTCCGGTAGGGTTGCTTTTGAATGAAATTAACGTTAAATGTTAGTAAGCGAGGATGCTAATTAGCACTGGCAAGTTTTCCGTTAGCTCCGGTGGTCGACTGCGCATGCGCGGCGCCCGATGGGATTCGTCGTTTTTTCCCAATGGCACTGCCTTACATACCCAGACATAAACTATACATGAAGCTAGTTGACATCTGTCACACTCACATAAAATATCTATTTATATTTATTTTACATTACTCGTAATAATTACCATTGTCTCATTCTCATAACAATCTTACAACCTGCACAAATACTTGATTAATGGGTGACATTAAGGCAGAATTCTGCTGCTTAGTTACATTAACTTGTTTTCTCCTTCCAGCTTTGTATCACTTACCAGAGAGATTCTAAACTTTAAACCATCAATCGCGCTGACATTATTGACATTGGCTACGGTGAGGTGCTTCTTTATTACATGTTTATTTGGTTTAATAAAAAACTGCATGCAATCAATTCCAATGAGTAAATCAAGATAATGTCCATCAGTCTATCCTTTCATGCTCCATCTCTTCACTGGCATTTCAGTCCATGCAGCTCTGGGGATCGTCCTGGAAATTTCAAATGTTTAAAAGATTACACTGTGATCACCTCGTGGCCAATCGTGCATTTTACTACCGAGAGCTGGAGAAGAAGTGTTGCATGTGTTGGATGATGTCGAGCTAGATCGACTCGACCAAGCAGAGACGATGAGCTAATCAGGTAAATCAGCTGCCGTCCTCTGGATGGGAACCTGCATGTTGGCTGTTTTTATATCACACATACCTTTCTCCAGAGTGAAATAACCTCGCTAAGCACAAAGACAAGGAATACAAAAGCATGTTATGGGTCATTATCAGTTTTAAAAATACAATGTGGTAGTTTTACTTTATTTTTTCCACCTTTGCCTTCCAAACCTTTAAAGCGTACGAACACCTGCGTGCACCGTGTGTGCGTTTTCTGTGAGCAGGATGGAATCCTCTATTGACGCTTTGAACAGGGGAGCGAATCCTTTCAGGCGACTCCGGCGGCAGCAGCAGCTAAAACTCAATTTGACTCTCGCGGCGTATCCTACAGACAGATTCTGTTGGTGAGGCATCACACAAAGTGTCACAAAACATCTGTTCAATCTGTTTTGTGCTCCATTGGACAGAATGCCAGGATGTCAGGGCACGCGGCTCTAAAAGAGAAACACCGACAAGTCTGTCACACTTGATAAAAGAGAGAACAATAATAACCCTGTTGAGACCGCAGAGCCAAAGAAAAATGGAAGTGGAAAGGAGCCGTTAACACTCACTGCACACACACACACACACACACACGCACACGCGCCACTGAAACGTTTCAGATAACACAAAACAGATCCTTTTGTGTCCTCCTCTCGTGGAGGTATGTTATGCTCCAGACAAACCGCTGCCACTGTGTGTCCTCTTGAGGGAGGGAGGGTGGGGGGGTGGGGGGCTCGTGGCGGCAGCGAGGAGGTCACCCGGTACGGGAGGCAGTTCACCGGGGTGCGACACGGACGAGGTCTTCAGGCCAACAGATGCAACAGTTCAAACACAAACGCTCGCTATTTGCCATCGCGCCCTCAAAAGCTAAAAATACAACTAATTAGCCTGCTGTCTTCTTCAGGCCAGCAAGAGGTAGTGTCCCCCCGACCCCCCCGCCAGATCCCCCACGGGTCACACCCATCACCTCATGCATGCCCGCACACATCTCTCATGGGATCGGCATGAGTGCTTAATAAGTGCTGAGACAGACGGGAGCCGTATATAAAGCCCCGCGGAGATTCCCCCCCGTCCCACCGCCTCCGGCTCCCTCTCTTCATTCCCTCTGATTTCACTTAATCCTCGAATAGGGGGGGGTCCGGCACTAAAGGTCTTCCTTCCTGCTCTCGGAAAACCAATGGGCGAACACGACGAAGCCGAGTCGTCGTGCGGGGCACTCGGCGGAGGGGGCCCCCCGCGGCCCCCGAGTAAGTGGCGGCAGTCCAGCAGCCTTTTCAACCAGGACGTGGGCACGCCGCCTTTCCTGGAGCCGGCGGAGCCTCGGTGGACGGACGTGGAGCGGCTCCAGAGGGGCCTGGCCGGCTGCCCCTGGCCGGGCTTCACACCCGCTCCGCTGTTCGTGCCCTACATCTGTGGGCCGGTGCATCGTCCCGGCCAGCAGAGTAGCAGAGAGCCGTACAAGTGGAGGGTGAGCCTGGAAGTGGCCCACTTCCTCCCCTCGGAGATTTCTCTCAGCGTCAGAGACGGATTCCTGGAGGTCGGAGGTACGGAGCCTTGGCGGGCAGTTGTGTTTGATTAAACAGCGTTAAAGGTTCACTCCAGCGTCGCTAATTACTTCTATACACGGGAAAGTTTCTGCCCAAGTGTTGATAATGTCGTCCGTCAAGCGCTTTTATCCCAGCGTTCTCTAAATAGACTTCTCTCTCATTCTTCCCCTCCGCAGGGAAACACGAGGAGAGGCCGGACGAGCACGGATTCATCGCCAGGTGTTTTACCAGGAAATACAGGTATGAGGGGAGGTCACCGGTAGTTACCGCCTGCACGTTGTACGCCCCGAGACGTTGGAAACGGGTTCTTGTCGTTTTCAGGCTGCCGGCTGAGATCGATGTGACCAAAATCGCCTCCGTGCTTTCTGTCGACGGCGTCCTGACTGTGGAGGCTCCAGTCCCCAAAACGTCCGTTCCTTCTCCCACCATCATTCCCATCAAGGTGAACACAGTCGGAAGTCAGGCACATTTGCCAAAATGTCAAACCATCCCTTTAAACTGGACAGTTTAAAGACTGAACAACAGGCGCAGATTGCATCCTGTTCAATGACCTCGTGCCCCACCTCGATACTATTAAGGCTATCCGTCCTGCAAGCGTTTCATTTCACTGACATTTCTCTCATGTTTATTAAAACACAGGTAGAGCTCGAGGTGACTGGAGAAAGGCTGGAGAAATATGAAGCCCCTGACGCAGAACTGGAAAGCTGCAGAACCCCCGAGGCCCAAAGTTTACCGTCCGCAGAGGAGGACGGGAAAGAGTCCCAACAAGAGGATCGCGGCCAGCGGGCCGACCCTGGCAGCGCCACAGTTGGGCCTCAGCAGCACAAGGAGGAGGAGGAGGAGACTCGCGAAGAGACAGCCGCAGAGTCCCGCCCTCCAGCGCCCGTCGATGGCGACCGGCCCGCGAGCCCTCGAGAATCCCCGGAGCCCCGCGTAGATCCGCAAACCCGCGCGGATGAGTCCGAACAGCCGGGACACGGAGAACCAGCCGTGGATGGAGAGATCCAGGTAGCGGCCGGCTCGGGGGAGGCTGCGGAGGAGATCGCCCGCCCCGACGGGCCGGAGCCGGGCCAGACCCCCCCGAGCGAGGACCCGGGCCGGGAGCTGGAGGCCGCCGACGTAAAACAAGAACACACAGAGTAGAGGCATAAAATGTCACCAGATGCGTTTTAGTGCGTAGACACACACAGCTAGTAATGTTTGCAGCTCCAATAAAGCAACAGCATGTGGAAAAATGTTCAATAAAGTGTTTGGTGTCTCATCATTTCTACATCTTTTCACATCCTCTTTAAATGAATGTGTCAATTTGCAACCGTGTCCTGGATAAGTGATCACACGTCACGTTCATCACATTCATAGCTGGGGGGCAACCGGGAAAAATAAACAAACAGGTGATTAATTATCACCGCGTTTGAGAGTTTTGAGACTCACAGCTGTGCATTAGTCACTTCCACGGATAGCTTTCCAAATGATGACGTTGCCATGGCAGCGCCGCTATCGTCACGCGATAGCAGTAAATACAGCCGTTTTCTGCGAGGTGGCACGCCGCGCGAAGCGAGGCCAACGCCGCAGAGGCCCTTTTGTCGACTCCACTTTTTCCGGCTGATTACCCCTCTTGCATCCAGCACTGCATTGTTGCATTATTTTGCATCACGCAACATGCAACGGAAACTGCCTGAAACGTCTCATTTTTTTTCGTGCTCTTTTGTGCACATACAAAAGCCCTGGCAGCGGTGCCGCGCTGCACTCGGCCCATTCCGCAGCCCGCGCGCACGCCGGTGCCAATCTCAGCCGGCACCAAAGCCCTCCGCTAATCTGCTCCCCAATTCCTTCTGTTATCCAACAACAACAACACAACACAACACAGGCCCCCTGGATCCTCGGTTACCGGGCCACAGAGTGCCACGGCCCTCCGTAAAAACACACAGATGTTAAGACACAATGGGAGATTTTTTTTTTTTTTTATTGCATCAGCCAACACAAAGACGTCAACAAGAAGAAAAACAAAAAAGCATGTAGGAGACAAACGTCATGCTCAAATACAAAAGAAGAATAAAAACGCAAATTATGTTGCAAAACGTGGAACACTTCAGATGAATATTTTGAATGAATCGGCACGTAATTAAAGTATATTTACAATACACTCAGAACTAGATTCACTCCACAATGAAGCTTCTCCTTCGCGTCAGGTTGAGTGACGCTCATCAACCCAAACAACGGGAGAGCTGCAGGGAGTCGAGGCACTCAAGTAAATAAAGGCACTTTTGTGTTGATATTTTTAAAACCAAAGATGCAAAAAACACTCCGCTTGATTGCATGTTGAATACAAATATGATTCACATACAGTATTTAATGGTTAGCGATAATGCTACAACTTAATATGCATCAGCGGCCCAACATCTGTACCAGTCTCATTGAATTGAATGAGAAGGCGTCTCCAAACTTTTTACCGGTTACTGTATGTAGAATATAAAGCTGCACAAAGAGAAATTAACATATGCATACTTTTAAAAAATCCAATAGAACTATGATAAAATATGAGTTTGTGTTTATTCTAAAAGCTGGTCTCTAATCAATCTGTAATAAAAGAAATACAAACCAAAAAAAACAAGTTTCAGCTCCTTCTGGACATTTATGGGTTTTCATCGGACGTGAAAGAGAAGTGACACCTGAATTTAATTTGGGCGACCGGCGGCATCTCTGTCCAGGTGGGGAGAAAGCTGTTGACTTATCCGCTGGTCTGCTTCAATTCTTTCCCTGTGCAGCTTCAAAGACCTCAAGCATGACATTACATTCTGCACGTTAACATTTCCCATCAAACATGAACTCAGTAGTGCAGGATGATTCCTTGTGCTAGTTGGGATTTAGACGGCGGGGGCCTCTTGGGTCTTGAGGGCCTCCACCTCCTGTGCGTCTCCCCCCTGCGGGGAGTCCTCGTTGCTGAAGAGGTAGTACGGAGGCGTCTGCCGGGCTTCGATGATGAGGACGCCCTCGGGGGACAAGGAGGCGAAGACGGTCACGGGGTCCACGTCAATCGGGGATCCTGGCGAGGGAGCGAGACGGACCATTAGGAATCATCTTTTGATGCAAGGGGAGAAGTTCCCACGTTAAGAGCAGCAGAGGTACAATCTGCACGCCGCTGTGCGTCGGGTTAAACATCCAGATTGAGGAGAAACTGCGCGTCTTGCATAATTTGAACATTTTGTTGTCTGTTAATTGTTCAAAGCGGCGATTTTTTTCATTGACACAATACCAGTAAACTGCCTGCAGTCAGGTGATCTCAGCGATGCGTGTTTAAGAGATTCTGACTGTTATTTAAAAAAATTCAACTAGTCCTTTTGCGCTCGTGAGAATCTCACACCTGCGAGTTTTAATTAGGAATCCTGCGGCTCTGCAGGAGAGAAACACAAACTGCCTCCAGGTGTGAAGCACAAAATCAACCTGAGGCCAATTAACCAGAGCATCTGTCTGCAGAGGTTCAACACCTTTAAATTACCATCGGTGCGCAGTTAACGCGCTGCTCTCATCTGCCATCGAGGCAACAGCTTTTTTTTTGCTCACCAATTTTTTGCGTAATATTTTTTTGACATTTGCCACGGAGCGGCGGGATTGTTGGCTTGTGATACTGGTTCCAACTTATCGAGTCGATTTACCGAATAAAGCACCTCACTTAGGACTGAAAGAGACGAGCGCACTGAATCCCCGGGCGGCTCGGCTCTCCGTCCAGACAGCGTGGCCAAATACGGGCACTGCGAGCAGCCGAGGCGTCTCCGGGAGCTCAGATAAACATCAGACCGCCCTGTTCAGACGCGCTAGACAGAGACTCCGGCGTCACACTCCGTTTTAATTAGAGAGGACCCTCCAAGGGCTTTGCCACTCCGCTGAGAAATAAGTCGGAAGGGGCCGAAGCTTCCTCGAGTCAGGTTGTCTTTCAGGGGACAAATATCACATTCAGCTCGAACAACGACATCCAGCAGAAGAAGAACAGTCTAATAGAGGGGCAACATCTCCTGAAACAGCCCCGCGGCACAAGAGGAGGGGAAAAGGGTGATAACGGGAAATAGTTTTTGGTAGAAACACAGAGACTTGGGAGTCAGATTATAGCACATCCAATTTAGATGGAGCCTCAACCGACGTCTGCCAAGACCGAATGCCTCAGAGTATCCGGCAGCGTGCACAGAAGTGAAAGATAAACCCGACAAACAAGTAAACGGATCAGGAGCGAAAACATGACCTCTTGAAAAACAGCAATTCAATTGCATCTGAAAAAATATATATATAAAAGTTGCAGGAAGTAGTTCCGCAAACCTTTACCAAGGAAGAAGGGCTCAGAGTTCACACAGATCTCATATACAGTCATGTAACGGTATTACTGGTATATATATTATATTATATATCAGATCAGATCACATTCATCTCACATACTGGTTTTGTACAGCAGGCAACGTTTAAAGCATCCCGCTCGTTACGACGGAGGTTTTACTTATTTGGTCCGTAATGTTATATTTGATCAACTGCTGCTTCTTTACTTTGTAGGAACTACTTTCCCTTCAATCTGCGCCGTCCCCTTTGCGTCAACATTGGATATGTGCACAGTAAGCATGAGGGGAAAAGAAAGTAATAACAGTAAATCCTCAGTCATACAAACTAAAACTGTGACCTCTCTGAGGATTTGGGTATCGAGGTGAGTTATTTATAGATTTAAAAAATAATAAATGAAACACTAAGGGTCATTTAGTTGGTTAGAGTTCAGGTAATCTCGTCTCGGTGGAGATACGCGAGATAAGTCAATGAAACACAAGTGAGTAAATGATACACAAAAGGTCATTTTGGTTTGTTAGAGTTCAGGTTAGCTTCTGATTAACTAGCGTTTCTCTTTTTCTGTCTGTACATGTTAATATCCAGCAAACGAGCTCAGACGTCTCACAACAACCGCGACCAAAATGAATATTTAAAAACAAGAATTAAAAAAATGATGCCCGGTCTTTTGATATTTAAATTTTGCTTCCGACATTAATGCTCTGATGATTTATTAACTTATTTTCCATAACACTGCCGTTATGAGCTTTGTGAGAAACCAAATGAAAACGTATTACAGGGTACATGTATCACTGCACTGAGTTGAACACAATATCACCTCTTACATAACTGGTCACAAATATGTTCAACCAAAAGAAGGTTTGCATCATTCATCACTGGCGTCATACTCACTGGATCTTCTTTGTGAAATTCTTTGTGACTATTCCTCCTTCTTCCTGCTTCTCTTCGTGTTTCCCTGTTAAAAAATACAGTCAAACAGACGCAAATAAATATATATATATATATATATATATATCTATATATATCTATCAATGAGGTTCATAATGGATGCCACTGAAAACATCTGGGGATGAAAGCACATCGCATTCGGCACATTGCTCAGCCAGTTCTGTTGTTTTTGTGCTCCGGGGCCGCTGGCGGGATGGAATGAAATGATGGAACACCTCCTGCTGGCCGGGTACGAGGCTGTAGCAGCTGCTCGGGGTGGGGGAGGGGGGTTCGGGGGAGTCGGGGTGGGGGAGGGGGATTCGGGGGGCTAGGCCCGCTGTGCACTCCCCTGCTCGCCGCCTTATACCCCCGCAGCGACGACTCGGCCCGCCCACAGTGCTGGACTCCGCCCCCGGAGGTGTGAGGGGGTGGGGGGGGGGCAAGAATGCTGGTGGAGTCATGACATTATTATTTGAACCTCACTGAGACTGGAAACTGGTCCCAGTCCGTGATGGATGGAGGTTTGGACGGGCGCCCGCCTCCGCTTACTTTTCAGCGTCTTACGACAGAGACGCCACATTCCAGATGCTCTCCGTAAGGGTCGTGATACCCGAGGTTCTGGGGGGAGAGACGGAGGACGGGGCCGTCCCACTTTGTGACAACCTTCATTAACAAATGAGCATTTCATTCCTGTTTACTAAACATACATTTAGCTAATATTTGTCTATTTATTATAAAGGAATTAAGCATTTGTTTCTGGACACTATTACAATCTCATTACATTAGTTACGCCGTTTATTAGCAGATATTATAACATAGTACTGTATTAAATACTTGGTAAGGCTTTCTTTGTAAATCTTCTATAACAATTACAGATGTGCCAGACTACATATTATTAACAACTAATTATGAACCATTGACAGTCTGGCATAATGTTTGTAGACGTATTACAAAGCAAACCGCACAGCGATTCTGTGTCGCTGTCGGCTAGCTGGCGGCTAGCTCCCCCCGATGATGTCACATTAAAACATAACTGGCCATTGAAATATGGTTGTGTGTTAACTACATTTTTTTTCCATCCCTGTGAATTGTTGAGCCCAATTTCACAAATAAACAGCTTCTTAAATTATAATTATTTCTAAATGATCAATTGAAAGGCTATTTGTGATGCTAGCTGATGTGTTTTTTGGGGGTGGGGTTTAAGCCTGTATCTTAGATCCTTACTATGAGGATTATTTTGCAATTCTTTATTGTGAGATTTAAATCACAATAAAGAGAAGAAAAAACGGATTGCGTAAGATCCACTAACATTTGAATCAGTGACCTCGCCGCGTCATCCAGTACATCCGGAGAAACCGGCGTTAAACATTTGTTCCTTCTGACAGGCACCTCCAGCGTGCTCGAATTACCTGCTCTGACTGTCACACTTTTAGATCGGGGGGGGGGTCAAGTCACTAACAGGCCCAACATGGCGCTGATTGAATGACCCAACTGGCATACCAACAATGTGTTTATTAAAAACTCAGAGCCGGCGGGGGGGGCTGCTGTCCCTTGCGTCCTCCTCGGCCCCCCCCGGCTGTCCCTGGAATCCATCCGTCTCTCTGAGGCTCTGACATGAGGAAGTCATTTCTGTAACTTACTCCCATAACCAGTGACTGAGCACAAACCGGAGGCCAGTTGGGAACAGAAAGGCTGCTGGGAAAGGAAAAAAAAAAATGGTCGGCGGCGCGTCTCGTTATAAACAGCCTCTGTTGTCACGGGCCTTGCCTTGAATCTAAATGGGGCCCCCGCGGGTGACCGAGGGAGTGATTCTCCAGGAATCTGAAACAGGTGTCCCGACTCGAGGACCCGCCCGCCATCATGAAAGTCCCGGGCCCTCAAAATCTGTTCTCTCCATACCGAGAGCCGTTCGATGGCGAGGCCGAGTTTCCTTTTTGTGCCTCGCAAGGTGGTTGTTTCGGGTATTTCGAGGAGTCAAGCCAGTGATAAGAAAGAAGTATCAATTTGTCTCCAGACAAACAGAAGTATGTATGGATACTAAATCTTAAGAAATTGCATAGTATACCTTTAAGAAAATATTACGTAATATTTTCCAATTGCAACACTGAGGGTATGACCTCAATGTGTTAAACGAAAGTTAAAGCACAGATTACACTATTCGCCCAATTTGTTAAGTTTATATCCTATTTAATGGCTTTTATGTGCAATAAGCTTTGATTATTTCCATTGTGATGGTGTTTTTGCTGATTAATTCCCCATTTGAAAGACGTTTGTTGTTTTTAAATGTGCCTATAAATAAAACTGAGCCTATGAACGTCACAGTGGGAAACCACCAGATTCACTCCGACAGTCTTTGATAGCAAAAGTAGGCCCCTCATCCTCAGGGAGCTTTAATAAAAGTTCTCTCACCTGACACATCTACAAATCCGTCCCTCGTCCTGATGGTCAACTCCTCCGGCTTGAAGCTGTGGACGTTCACGCACACCTTCCAGGGCTCCCCCCCGGTGGCGGTGGCGCTGACGGTGCCGGTCGGCGAGCCCCGGGAGGAGGGCTCGCCGTACCGGCTGGTGTACACCGCGGGGCCCCCCGCGGACTGCCGCGAGGCCGGGAAGCCCGCGCGTAAACCGCCGCCGAACGGCGACGTGCCGAGACGCGTGCCGAGCCGGCCGGGCCGAGCCCAGCCCGGCCAGTCCATTGCCAGCTCGTCGGGGAAAGGCGGCATCCCGAAGTCGTCCTCCATGAAGCGAGACCCCAGCTGGTCCCTGAACGGCGATTCTCCGAACGGATCCCGGGGAAACCTCTGGCGGTTCCCCGGGAAGAAGTCTCCCTCGGCCATGTGCAGAGGGAGCGCGGGACCAGTTCGAGTTGTGCTGTTCGGAACCGATCGACCCCCCTCCTGCCCCTCCTGCCCCCCCCTCTCTCCCGCTCCCGACCACAACTTTTCTTTACACCGACAAAAAGAGCGGATGTGCGGTCAAACTTTATCCGTCTTGGATGTTACGCATAACAACGCGGCCTCCGGGTTGTCCGCGCACACGCACACGCACACGGGCAGAAGCGCGCACTGCTCGTCCCGATGGACGGAACCGCCTCCGGGCTGCGGCTTTTATACTGGGGAGGATTTCACAAGACGTCCGGAACGTGCTGGGAGGATCTGGAGAGAACGCGCGCGCGCTGCAAAAAGTATCCGTTTCAAGAAGTGAAACCGTCTTTAAAACCCTTAAAACGCGGAGAACCGGAACCGGCCGAACTTCGCCCCACTTCTAACAATCCGGGTCCGCCGTTTATTAGCTGAAAGGAAGCCGCTTCACGGTTAGATTGAGGAAAAAGTGACTTGTTGGTGTGGATATTTTTGCAGCGCAGGCTCAACAGCTGACCAGAGGACCCCCCCACCCCCAAATGACGTTAGCGTCCACATGTCACTCACACTGAGCTGGAAGTCCCGCCCATCGGTGAGTCACTGGCTTTTTATTAGCAGAGCAACGCAGATCTGGGGGTCGAACGCGCTGATGTCACAGTACGGATAAAACACGGGGGGGGGGGGGTCATGCTTCAAGAAGTGCGTCTGCAGAACGTAAAACGAGACTCGGTTTTAATTCAGGACATGGTTTCATAGAGCTTATCCTACACATTCTACAGTGGCACAAGATTAAAAAAAAGTGACAGCATGACAAACGATAGAGTCCTTCACAGCGTGATTTAACAGGGAAACACTGGGCCACTACGCGGCTTTCTTATTCTGTATGATAACATAAGACACGGTAGGAGGGAGCTTCAGCACAGAGACATATAGAGTCCACTGGGGGACGTTTCTAACACCCGACGAGGCCCAAAGTCACAACCTTTGTGTACAATCTCTACAACGCAGAGGCATATTTACACCACAGTAATTACACGTCCAAAAGGACTTTTACACAAGAACTTTACATTGTGAGGAGAGGGGAGGGGGGGGACACCGGGGTGGACCCGGGAGCACATCTAGAAAAAGTTCCTCGACCCGACTGCACAAAACCATCCCGCCGGCATCTCGTCACTTTATGGGAGTTTTTGGAGGGTTTCTGTGCAGAATCACGTTTCCTCTTCGCCCCATTCGTCTGATTTGGTCGACATTCGGGGCAATAAGCTGAGAGAAGCGAGGCCTGTCGGGGCCCGGAGCGGTTACGCAGAAGATGGATTCGACGTGATCGAGGAATATAACTGGTAATTATTCAGCATGTGGCGGTTTCTAAAACTAAAATGTGGACGCAAAGCCGCCTTGGAATTAACTTTTTTAAGATTCACGTCGACATTTCGAGCAAAATGCGCCGAGAGGAGATTGATGACGCCTGCGCGTGTTTGCGGTTTGTGATTAGCTTAGTTTAGCATCCATCTTCAACTCACTGCAATAGTTCACTGCGTAGAAAAAAAAAGGCTCAGCCGAGAAATAAACTTGTCATTTTTAAATCAACTTCCCTTTTGTGTGTCTTATTGTGCGTTTCCCAAACACCAGACTCCCTTTAGAAAACCTCTCATTTGACTGACCTCGCTAGAGAAGCATCACGAATAATTATAGCGAAGTAGACAAATACATTATTTAACTAAAAAAGGTCACGTAGAAGCATCAGTATTAAATTGGGACAATTTCATAACCAGTTATCAAGTTCCTTAAATGTTTTACGGATCAAACACATTTTCTAATTAGTCAGCTTTGGAGGTTCTGGCAGATTAACCTTTTAACTTGCAGTCTTTATGCTAAGGTCACTTAGCTGCTGTATGTAGCTTCCTATTTAACTGACATGTATGAGAGCAGAATCAATCGGGCCATCTAACTCGCTTGGCAAGGCACCAAGAATCAAAAGGTCAGATCTTTTTGCTTTTGAACGCCTGCCAGCACTTTGAGGTTTACGCCCGGGCGGAAAAACCCAAGATGAACAAACCAAGCATAAATTACAGTCGTGGTAATGATACATCAACAGTGTTGCATAGAAAGATTGACCACCACTGAGAGGGACGACAGATCAATAAATATTAAATACACATACATATGGACGGCGCGGCACCTTTAAAGTAACCTTTTTGTTTCTCAAAACAGATGTTTCACTCGCCATGAGTTGCCGAGCGAAGAACCTCCTCTGACACCCCGAACGTCTCGATCGCTCGCCGCTGCATCACATCCGATTGACATTTCAATTGTTTTTCACTTGAGGATAAATTAACTTGACATTTGAGCTGACAGCCGACGCGCAGAGATCGGAGCAAAGTACCTTTTCTTCATTCCTGACGTCGCTCCCGAGCCATTTGTGAACGCTCAAGCGGCTTAAACGTTTCCTCCATTAGTCGGAAACAAAATCCAACACACACTACCTGACATGCCTTGTGAAGCTGGTGCATCCGTATGTACACACTCCATCATTTCTGCTCTCCTTTGTACCTTATGATTCACTGTGTCAAAGAACTTTCCATATTAAAATAAATAAATACAGTTCGAATTTAAGAGAATAATTATGGTAAGTGAATGGTCATAGTAAGCAGCAGCGATGTTTACGTATCTAAAAGATGAACAGTCTCAGGCCATTAGTGCTGATGCAAGACGATGCAGTACAGGAACAACACAAAGAAGCAGCGAGACATTCCGTCTCCTGTGGTCTCTGTGGGCGGCCACAACGATAAACGTGGTCGGACCCCCCGCGCGGGGACAATTCCCATCCATGCAGCGCACGGAGACGGCCCAGAGTCCAACATCCATCGCTGGAGAAAAAAAAAGGGGCCGCGAGCCTCCGACCCCTTGACGACCCCTTGACGACCCTAACGCCTTCTTTTGTGGCGTTTGGGCAACGGGCCGCGACTCCGGCTGCGACTGCGGGTCCCAAAGATGGAGTTCCAGGACGAGCTGCGGCTGTAGCTCCGGTAGGAGGAGTAACTGGGGGTCCGGCTGCGGCTGCGGCTGCGGGTGAAGAGGCTGCTCCAGGACGACACGCTGGTGGACCGGCTGCTGGAGGAAGGGCTCGGCCGGAAGTAGGGGACGGGTCGCTTCCTGGCACTGTGGAGAGCAACAAGGGGACGTCAATCAAACGTCGATCAGTGGAGCCTTGAAACAACGTAGATCATCGGAGCGATGACTCTCTCGGTGCGGGGTTCCTTCGCGCAAACGGCAGTTGGAAACGCTAGCGAGGGAAACCTGGCCGTGCGGATGCGAGATCTGATTATCACACTGCGCTTGTTCTTTTTTAAAAAATACATCTCAGATCGCCTGTGTTGCACCATCTGTTCCTGCAGCACCCGAGGCTGCTTCACATTTTATCTCATCGTCTGGGTCAATGCCGTTTCATGGTGCACAGGTACCATCGGAGGGGCTTTCGAGTTGGGAACTCGTCGGACAGAGGGGGCCTGAGGGTGGGACCAGCGGTACATGTTTGCCATACATTCTAGCAATAAGCAACCCAGCCGGGAAAGAGCCGCACCTCGTGATCCGCCGGGCTTCCAGGTGGCTCGGCGAGTCCCTCCTCCGCTTCTTCATCGGCGAGTAGGATTTCCGTCTTTGTCTCTTCCCACTGACCTTATGTGCGCGCTTCACATCTGTCGCCCTGGAGCTGCGCGGTCTCTTTCCGTCTCGTAGTCTGGGGAAGCGGACCAAACAAAAACGCAAACGTTAAAACCCACGTAAACGTGTGGATTCGTTCCCCGGGAACCTTTCCGTCAGGTTCACCTGTCAGCGCTGCGCCTGGAGAAGCTTCCCCCGGAGCTCGAGCTGGCCACGCTGCCCCGTCGCCTCGGATCAGCTGAATGACTCGCTGAGCGCGAGTACGAGCTGGCAGCCAGAAAAAGGAAAAAAAGAAGGTAATTGTCCCTCGTAATCGAGCAGACCAGCAGCAGATACAATTTCGATTTCCACCAACTTCCTTTTGCAAGTATGTCATGATCGCATTTGTGTTTCTGCTGAGGGAGGAATTTGTCTTTGATCTCGACTGGAAATGGATATGCGTTCAGTGGCTGTACCTGGGGCAGGTAGCTGTACGTGTAAGACGGTCAATAAATAAATAAATAAATACAGACCGGACCACCGTGATGTCACCCACATTCCCAAATCCAAAAGTTCTCAGCGTAACTTATTGGACTTTAGCGATATAAACATGGCCAGGGGTCGACCCACCTGCAGGAGGACAGCGACGCGCTTCGAGAATAGCGGCCGCAGTATCTGGAGCTCCCTGAGGATCTGCTCCTGCTCCTGCTGCTGGACGGACGCCTTTTCGTCCGCCTTCCGGACGCCTTTCTCCTCCTCTGGGAACACCTGGATGTCTTCAGGGATCTCACGACCTCCACCCGACACCCCAAGGTTATCTGCCCTCTGCAAGGAAACCACGTTTCACTGCTTTGAGCGATAGAGCCTCCTGAAGGTCCACTGAAGGTCCAAGACACAGATGGATCATTTCTCACGAACACAACTTTACCTCTTGCCGTCCCCACTGAAAATGGCCGCAGACACGCCGTCCTCCGCGTACGGTTTGCACAGGGAGGCGTAGCTGGTCACAGAGTTCCCTGAATCAGAGGCATTGTCTCCGTACGCGGACGGGCGCCTACAGCGGTTCCTCTTGTTGTCACCGACAGCCGACTGACAAACGCCAGTCTTGCTGGACGGCGGCGAGGACGTGTCGTTGCCCGAGTCGTAATCGTGCGGCACTTCGGCGTGGCCGGACGAGTGCTGGGACGCTTTCCCGCGTGAAATCTCTCCTCCGGGTCCCGACGACGGGATCTGCAAACAGACAAATGGGCTGCAGCTTAAAACCAAACGTGTGTTGAAAGGGGAACCCTGCTATCTGCCTCGATGCACTGTGCATTCTCTAGGACAATACGCACATATCCCCTTGAAAACACAGAGAAGTATTTATTTAGTTTTGCTTTAGTTTTTTTTCTTCTCAGGATCGAAAACTTTGAAAGATAAAGACATCATGCAAATTTGAAAAGCATGCGATTTAAACCCCCAAAAAGAACTTCTAAACTCAACTTAAGCCAAAAGAAAGCAAGAAGGGACGAATTGAGATAGAGTCAGTCTAAACTAAAACAATTATATGAAAGGAAGAACAAAAGAGCAGAGAAGAAAGAAAAACTACGCGTGGAGAGATCTACCGGCTCTAACTCGTGTGAAGAGAAGAAGAGTAAACAATAGCCCCGTTGAACAGCCTGGTTTAAAGAACATCGAACAAACATCACAAAATGGGTATTATGTAGAAATGAAAAGGATTGCAGACAAAGAGAGATCCCATCAGTCTAGCTAAGAAAGCCCTCAGAATGGGACAGATGATTGTGCTCTTTCTCCTGTAAGAAGTAAATCATTCGCCTGCACCGACCTACAAGCATAAGCCCTAAATCTGCGGATAGCATCGACTTACCAATCAAGATTTCCTCCTTAAGTAGGTAAGGTGTAAGAAAAAGGGAAGAGCGGGCAACATAAGTGCATCATTAGAGTCGTAAATTGCAAGAAAAAGACAATAACCCTCTCCTCAAACCCAGAGCCAGTTCGATTTATATCGGCATGTTCCTTTTTCTTTCCTCAATGGTGCATTGTTTGAGCTTTTCACGGGCAAAAAAGTACCAGAATACGTCAAAAGTGTGCTGGAATGGCTTCTGCTGCAGACGGGAGAAAGACACCGACTCAACCCGACGGTCGACTGATCTCGTGACATTATGAGCTCTCTTCATTTTGAGGTTCATCCCGTCTGAAGGTTTCACTTCGTCTAGTCTGAAGACCGACCCTGAGGGGAAACGCGCTCTCTTCGATTCCCCTTCTACTACCACTCGCGTCGAACCCCCGAAGTAAAAGGTTCCACTGACTGAGAAAACTATTTAAATCAGGGACATTCTTCAGTTGTCACCGTCAGCGGTGTTGTGACGAGGCCTTCAGGTAAACGTTCACAATGGTTCCCTTCAGGTTTGCTCCTCTGTTGTTCCAACACAAAATAAATGCAGCGATTCCTCGCTCGAATAAACAAAACTTCAACCACATTCATGGTAATTATTCATATTTTTGAAGGTTTCTGTTCTCTACGGTCATACCTACCTTTCCCTTTATGGATTGCTTTTTTTTGAGGGGGGGGAATATCAAGCACAGATCATTCTGCATCACCAAAGCAAAACCAATAAATGAATGCAAACACCACTGAGTAGTTGTAACTGTAAGGTCCTCCTGAAACACTTTGGGATGTCGAAAGCCAGACAGGAGTCGACGTGTGAATTAACTCATTGAATTTAAATGAAAAACCTGTGGCGTGTGATTAAGAACTGTGCTATTAGCATAATTTATTGATTGCTGGAGAGAAATTAAATATATTGCACGCTCCAATAAGCACGAGACAATGACTTTAAGGACGTAGCTGTTTTTACGAGGCTCTTTGGGAGGACGTCACTTCCAAAAACAAAGAAAAGGAGAATGAACCGACAATAAACAGCCACGAGCCGTCAAATTACAGTTTAAGGGTGTTTTTTTTCTGCTGGTTTCATTTCAGCTGCGGCTCTCTGTTCTAACGTGTCACACGTCCGATGACCGTGCAGATGAAAATTGATTTTGCTGCTTCAAAATAAAAGCTTTAAAATATCAAAGTGACTGAGGAGTTTTGTTTTGAAGAGCTTATTTAAAATCCAGTTTTAGGATTAGCGATTAGCGAAGCCTTGATTGCTGTTATTCCTCAATTAAACCAGTCTACTCACACAGCAGGAGCCGGGCAGTTATCGTAATTAAAATTTGTTTTTCCACTGACATTTTTCACTATCTGATCAATCCGGTCGAATTTAAGTCTCTCATGTGTGGACACATTATGTAAACTACAGTAAACTGCAAATCTGCATTTAGATGAAAATAAGTTCACGGTTCAAAAATAAAACTGTTGCAAAGCGTTTAGTTTTCCTTATCTTGACCCCAGTTTGTTAAAAAACTTTATACAAAATATATTGGCACAGAATAGAAAGAGAAATGGCATGAAAATAAAATATTCATTGTTTCATTTTAAGAGGAAAAATGTATTTTTCCTGTCTCTTCATTGCAATGAGGAAGGAAAAGAACCAACAAAATTAGTGCAAAATAAAAGAGGACATAAAATGAGCAGAGAGACCATGAATAGTCTTCAGATTTTGTAAATATTTAGGGGACAGCTAATTGGGTTTTAAAGTTTAATTAAAAAAATGTATTTTGAATGAAAAAAAACAGGATTTGGAATTGAACTTTCACTAAATATCAAACCAAAAAGGTTCCCGACCCAGCGGCCATCAATCTGTCGAACAGCCGCTTTACACACGCGACAACGCTAAGAGTCCCAAAGTGTACTTACGCTGGCGGTCGAGAGGATGGAGCGATACTTTGGCGCCGTTTTACACACTGATTTGGTTTCAGGTCCCCGCTTCATGTCCGTGTGGTCGAGCACTGCAGATCCGCGCAGATGCTTTCTGTTGGAAAAATGGTGGATTCAGTGTTTCGTGACACGGAAAGGCTTTTTTTTTCTCAGCTGCAGCAAGTTGAGGCAAAAAGTAGCTGAAAAAGTAGCTCAAAGTTCACTAATTGAGCTGTTAATGATGCAATTCTCACTCCAAATGCAACGTCGATGATCATCTGGGGATGAATTATGACCAGTTAAATCTGTCCTCCCCGTCCCCAGTATAATCCATAACAAAAACCCCCCCGTCCCTCGTCCTGCAGAGCGTCGTTCTAACGGAGCGCATCGATCCGTGGAGCGAACACGGGGCCGCTTCCTGTGAAGCCGTGATAAGGGCGTGAGACGGGGAAGTCACCTCTGCCTTATCGCCCATCGCCGCGGTGTGACCAGCAGCCTCCAGCTGATTAGATAAACCCAGGGGGTGAAATGAGGGCAGATGGGGGGGGGGGCGTGAGGGAGGGGGGGTCCTACCTGTCCTCTGAGGGAGATCGGTAAGATGAACCGTCCAACTCTGACCTCCGATAGCGCCGCTTCCGCCGGGAGTGAGTCCGAGAACTGGAGGAGGAGACGAGGGGAGAGGACACGAGTGGTTAAGGGGCCGAGGGCACTACGGTCGATCCATTGACAGGGAGCAGCAGTTGTCTCTCTGACATCTCTCAGCAATTACACAAGAAGATGCTTACAAGACGTCACAAAGTAGAATGCTCCTTTCAACCACGTCATCTATCGTCATCGTTACTGCTCATGTGGATAAATTCAGCAGACACGTTCATGATCTTTAGCTGCGGCCTTGTAAATTTGTTGTTTTGGCCAAATGTTCGATCCTCATTTTCTTCTGATATGAATATTGTTTGAGAACGTGACGGGAAGGCGAAAGGATGAAGGAACCGAGGAACCGACGGGCGTGAGAGGAGACGGTGAGCTGGAAAGTGTCTCCGAGCTCACAAACAACGGGCCGCTCGTCCAAAGTCCAATTACAAAATGTTGGCAGCTCGCAGCGTGAAATTGGCTTCTCTCACCCCTCCCTCACCCTCTGTTTCATTCCTCCCCTCTCTTTTTTGCCCAGAACGATAAAAGCCTTCATGTTCCTTTGTTGCCCCCCCCCCTCTCTTGCCTCCTCTGTGGACGGGTGGGCGGGCTTACAGCGTGGAGGAAGACAAAAAAACAAACAAAAACTCGTGTAGGATTTGGGCGGTACATTAATTCCACTGACCTTTTTTTGTGCTTGCGCTCATCCTTCCTCTTGCGTTTGAAACTCGAAGAGCTGCTGGGATGAAAGAAAGGAACGATGAGCTCTTTTCATTTTAATATTTTAACCTTCACAAATGTCACACGCCGGGACACGCGGCGTTGTTGAAGGGCGCCGCCGCGCCGCACGCGTACCTGTGCTTGGTCTTCTTGGAGGTATACCTGGAACAGAAACGGAGAACGCGGTTTAATCCCCTCGCGGGCGAACCTTCGCGCCATTGCGGCCACGTCGCCGTGGCAACCAGGAGCTTTACCTGTGCCGCTTGCTTTTCTTGGAGCTCTTCTTCTTCTTCTTCTTCTTCCGCAGTGGCGACAAGCTGTAGGAAGGAGACCTGGAGCCGGGGGGGGGGGGGGACAAATGAACATGAGCTCTGTCTCCGGGCGAGTTCATCCCAGGAAGCAGGACAAAGAGTCATCTGGCTTTCAGGCTACTGACCTTTTCCTTTTCCTCTTCCGCTCAGACTTCCTCTTCTTCTTCTTCTTCTTCCCTTTGGGCCGGGGGGAGAGTTCCTCATCAAAGGAGGGGCTGTGGGCGGAGACGGAGCAGAGGGGACACAAGGGTTACTGCTTGTGAATACCAATATCTTTAGCTTTTTGGACATTTAAGCATGCATCCGGATTTCTTCTGCCAACGCGCGCAAGCAAAACGACCCGTAGGAGACGATCCCGTCATCGAGGCCTTTAAAGTAACGGGTCAAATAGGTCGACCCTGCAGCGCTGTGTGGTTTCTCTTTGGTTCTCCCATCTGCGTTCCTATTGGCTGCTGACCCCGAGGCGCAGCGTGGCGTCGCTGCTCTTTTGTTCCTTTCTGTTCCCTGCACGGTACCGCGTCCTCACTGAGAGCTTTCCCTTTACTCAAAGAACCTTAGAAATGCCGGTTAGTTCCCTTCATGATTGCGTAGCAGAACAGAATAGAACTTTTTTAAATATTTCGCCATACTGGAGCCTTCTTGTGAATCGAGTTACACTAACAAGGTAAGTTAAGTGTTCGAAAACATCCGTTTTTTTAATGGAAATGCTCAAAAACAGTCCAGGTCCAAGTGGATTCACCCACTTGTGCCACTTTGAGGACCCACATCGGCTGTATACCTATTTCCAAAACTCTTTTTCATCACGTGACAGATGCAGAAGAAGAAGAAATCCCTGCTAGTTTGACTGCTAAGCAGAAGGTGCAGAGCCGCAGAGCCTGAGATCTTCTCCCCTCACTTGAAGTGGGAAATTCACAGTGAGAAAAGAGAAGAAACTTCTCCCACTCCATTCGCCGAGCCGCCAGATTGCCGTCCGGGGCTCCACTTCATCTTCTCTCCGATAACGACTGACGTGCGGGGAAGCAGACGAGGGCCTCTGAAGCACCGCGGCCTCGTTTAAATGAGCCCTTGGAGTGCGGGCCGAGCGGAACTTCTTAAGAGGGGGAAAAAAAAAGACAGGTGGGAGCGAGCGAGCGAGCGAGCGTGTTGAGGGATGCAGAGAGCACGAGAGGCCGCTGCCTGCGACTCCTCCTTCCCTTTGATAATGAGGTCAAACATCAGCCTCGCTCTGTGAAGGCTGTCTGCTGTGGGCTGAATGAGAACTGATGCAGTGTTTGCTTCACTGAACTGACGAGGGAACGTATGCATGCACCTTGACCTTCTTTCACGAGTTAACAATCGAAGCTGACTCATGCAAACACTTCCCCCGCTGTGATGAATGTCCCTGCCGGGTGCGGTGGGAAGTTTTGGGAGCATCAGGGACCGAAGCGCATTAAGGCTGATTAGGCCAAGCACCCTCTCCTGGTAATGAGAGCGCTTTGTTGCTCATTAACGCCTCCACCATTCCGGCGTTGCAGACAGAGAGCGCCAGGACAGCTTTTGCATTTTTCTTTCTCGCCAGCAGAAACGGGTTTCTTTTGATGAGGCGGAGACAAAGGGGAGGACGAGAGAGCGGCAGTCAGAGGGTGAGGATGTTCTCTGTGCAGCCTCTTTTTTCCCCCTCCAGCAGCAATCAGCGTCGCTTTACAAGGAACACATGCACGGTGCAGTGTGATGGGAAGAGATGAGAATGTAGTTTACTTTTCTATCATATGAGAGAAGAGGAGCGAAATCTATTCGAATTAATCAAAACCAATCAGGAACCAAATCGCGAATTATATTCAACTTTGCTTCATGTGTGTCGTTATGCGGCTGCTGAGTCGGGAGAAACGCCTCCTAATGAGATTCAACGTTCTGGTATGTTTGACTGTTTCTTTTCTAGTGGCCCTTCTTTTTCTCAGAGGAAACGTCAGCTTTCTGAATCCAAGTGTAGAAAGTAGCCGCTGTCGGTGGCTTCTGGTGTCGTCTTATAATTAACGCGGGTTTCTCTGGGAAAACTGGGCCGCCGTCGACCAATTAGCGAGATAACGACCCAAAGAACAAAAGTCCTCCTCAACGGAGGAGAAGACTTTGTGTCTGAGACATTTTAAAGAGGACTCCACCTCATTAGACACCTTTCCACCAAGTGGAGATTAATTAACACAAGCACAATATTCTTTGTGTAATGAAAGTGCTGCGTGGCATTGGACTGCTTAAAAAACACTAAATGTTTCTGTAAATATATATTTTACCAACATAAAAGGTAGAAATATATATAAATTCCTACCTTATGCGGCAGATTCTAACGCTACGACATTATAGAGCATTTTTTTGCTGGAATTCAGAAGAAAGGAATATTCTTCCGGATGAAATGAAAATCGGCTGATCTATAAGTCATGATAAGAGCAAGTTTGTCTATGAAAATACACATTTTTACTGCCATTTCTCACTATTTGATCGTGAATAAGTGGTTGTTGAATATTTTATAAACAGGCTCTTGCTTCTCCGGCCCTTTCATCAGTAAAACAGACAGAGATGTGGCCTGCAGGGCCCTCCAGACGTATCCGCACCCTTTGGTGAGAACGAGCAGGACGAGATGCAAAGAAACGTCTGCAGATAAAAGCTCGGTCTTCTCTTATGATGCGCGAGGAGGTTGGCGAACACATGGCGCCCCAGGCAGAATCTCTCCTTCGTTTAACGCTCCCTGCAGAGGCCGGTAGGGTTTCATTTAATACCTGCTGCTACTTGATGGAGTCCATGGTACCATCATGTAAAAAAAAGACCCCAAAAACAGTCTGTCATTCTGCACCAAACCCACCTTTGATGTTTGTTCCCAAAAAAGCTCTGTTTTCGTCTTTTCTCACCACACGGCCCCATTGGAAGTCTCAGCAGCGTCCAGCAAACCGAAGGCGCTTCGGTTTCTTGTTGGTTGACAGCGGAGGCCTTTTCCTGGGAACCCTCCCAGATAACGTGTTTTGGAGACTTTCCGAGAGAACAACTCCCGCCGCTTAATTATTATATACGTCTTAATCATTGTCCTGATGGTGGAAATAGGTATTTTCACCAGTTGTGTCCATTTCCTGACTTGTGCAGCTCGACAACGTTTTGCTGCACATCGTCACTGTGTTCTTTCTCCCACCTCATATTTATAATCCCTAAAATGTCATCTTAACATGACAAAATGACTTCAGTTAGATGTTTATGGTGAGGTTTATACATGTGTGCCAATAACTGGCACAATCTTTATTTAATGTCAAAACATTTCTCTTCAGCAATTTCCCTTCAATGAAAAGTTGTTAGATTAGCTGACGCTTTTATCCAAAGCGACTTACAATAAGTGCATTAAATCACGAGAGAACGAAGAGAAGAAGTTCCTCCACAGAGAAGTGATTCTCTCTGGAAGAGTTTGTGAACTCACTCAGTCGCGTTTGACTGCAAACGAACCCCTTTGGAAGGTTTTACGATTCATTTTACGACACAAAAATCCGCCTCCATCGATTTCTCCCTCCTCAAAATCCAAAAAAACGCCACTATTCTCTGTGGGTGAAGGAGACTTTTGATTTAAAGTGCCGGTGAAATGAGAAAGACACCGTGTGGAATTCCCCACAACGCGTTTGCATTTCCCCCGCCGGGGCCGAACCCGGATAGGACTGTTTACCCCCCCCCCCCCTCCTACCCCGCCCCCCCCCTCACCAAAATGTGGAGATAAGCTCTGGTTTCTCCACAAGGACTCGAGCCCTGAAGGAGCGTTTGGTGAAACGCTTTCTCATCGGAGATCTACAAAAAGCGTCACACGCCAACGCAAACAACCCTCGGGCCGCGTGGCAACACAACGACGAGCCGGCCGGAAAGGGGACGGACTCACCTGCGCGCCCGCCGGCGACCGTGGCGCTTGCGTCCTTTTCCTCTGACGCAGCCGTTCCGGTCCCCCGCGTCCCCGCCGGCGTGCAGGACGCCGCCCCCGGCTTTCTCCTCGTGGGCCTTGAGCGGCTGGCAGGTTGTTGTCGTCTCTAAGCTGTGAGGGAAGCGTTGGAGTGAAAAGAGAAGTTCAGCTCTCGTGCCTTTTTCCGGTGAGACATTTTTCTAGTCGACGCCTCCATTACCCAACAGCGAGGGGGATTTAGCGTGCTCGGTTTGCCCCCGCTGCCTCTGGTCTGCTGGATAACGGTTTCATTCCCCTCCATTTATCAGCCTTTTCTCCGGGAGAATTGGAGGTCAGCCATTTACCATTCAAATCGAGGTGTCAATGGAAATGTAGTTATTTACATGCTTCAGTTGCGCTGACATTTGGGCAAATAGTGTTTTCTATCTTGTGCTGAGCAGACGGGAGGAGGGGGGGTCATAAGAAAAGTGGAAGTTCTCCTTGAATCTGAACTGAGTACATTTAATCTGTTATTTTGATCTATGGCGATGACAAAAAGTTATACAGTATTCACCATTGATTATTTCATTGTTCAAGTGTTTTTTTATTTATTGGGCAGAAATAAACAGACACACCAAATCATCTTTGGCCTCCGACGCCGGTGTGAAGCTGCCATGAGTCGGGTGTTCACCGATACACCAGAAACCTCCCAAAAACTTCAAATCTGGCCGCCCAACAAACTGAATAACCGGGATGATTAGAAGCGAGCAAACAGCCGCGCTCGCCATCCTCCGTTTTAGTGGTGGGAGACTCGAGCGTAATCACGAACTCTCCTCTTCTTCGAGTGGCTCCAGTCTGATTGTAATGAGGAGATAATCGGAGCCCGGAGATTAGGCCGCCGACAACCCCCCCCTCCCCCCCCCTCCCTTTGCCCCCTTCAGCGGCGAGCAGCCAGCAGCCGTCGCTTTCTATCTGGCTCACCTTCACCTCCGTGCACTTCGCCTGGAAGGAAACTAATAATGCAAAACGGCAGACCGGCGTTCCGACGCGACCGAGGGTCTGGAAGGTGATCGGCGAGATGAAGACAGCCGGCGGGAGGATGATTCGTTGCGATAAAGGGAGACTAACCTCCCATTAACCCACCCCGTATTGTCTTAAAGGGGGGTGGGGGGGGGGACTGGGATTGATCCGGTTTGATCGTCTGAGATGAAGTCTGGAACGATGATCAAACATCTCGACTTTGTGTTGCTGCTTTTCATCAATGCATCATCAAGGGAAATGTCAGTTAGGCCCAGAAAGCTCTGTACCGCTTTAGCCTGGTTGGTACCCGGATCGCACGCTGCAATGTAGTCACACCTCCCATCTGCAGAGCAACAATAAGCATCCCGCCTTCCTCCACCTCTTTGTATTTGCATTTAGAGGCCTGATGCGTAACACTCCCCGCGGAGACGAGAGCGCTCTAAGTTCTCCTTTTAACTGTAACCGGCTGTCGCTCTGAGCCGAGGTCGACGAGTTCTTGATGAAATTGATTTTGCCATCGCGGATGCGCGTCCGCTTCATCCGGCTACGCGACTTATTGCCGAAAAAACTTTTCCAAGCTGCGAGCACCTGGATTCATCTGTCGAACGACAAACACACGCACGCACACACACACACACAGACAGACACACACGCACGCAAGCATGGGCGATCCTCGTTGGCGCGTCGGCCCGACTCTCGCGGCGGCTGAATGGATTTGAATGGAGAGCTTCTGTCGCCGGAGGAGAGAGCGCGCTGTTGTTTGGCAGAAGGAGAGTCTCGCTCCTTCAGCACCGTCACACACGGCTGTCACGCGGAGGGGTGACAAGCACGGACAGATGGTGCACAGAAACACGCCGCGTGTTCAAAAGGGCGGCGAGGGGGGGGGGCTTTTAGCTTTGTAAAAACCTTCCTACAAAATGTGTTTGTATGCCGCTAATTCGCCAGACACGTGCACGTCGGCGGATTCAGAGGTGCGTATTTTCTGTGCCATAAAGCTCCTTTGTTGACTACAGCGGCGCTTGCAACACACATTGACCCCGACCCAAATAAGTATTGTCCAGGTTCCCAGATGCACAGGTAAAAATAGCCCTAAACAAACATCAAGCTACTGAATGACAGAACCTCAAAACATGACTCAAGCAAGGGGCCGACCTGTTTACGTCTGACTGACTCTCTGTGCCGTGCCAAGAAACGTCTGGTTCAACCAAAGAGTCGATGTCTCCTTCGGAGGGTTTAAGGGTTGAAAGAAGTATGGTGGGCCTTGTGTTGTTTGAGTTGCCATGGCATCACCACATGCCTGCTGAGAAGACTTGCGCCTAACCGAGCAAGTGAATAACAAACCGTGGAAAACAAGTTAGGGTTCATAGGTGGAAGGATCAATGCAGCTAACCCCAAAAAGCAACAACAGGAAAACCACATCAGGCAATCGATGGACAATGCGTCACTTTAAGAAGAAGAAGAAGAAGAAGAGGGGGGGAGGAGCCGAAGGAAATCTGATGTCTTGAAAATTTAAATCAAGTTTTGTACGTTAACGGCACGACCCTTAGAAAGACACTTTGCGTGCGATGTCTCTTGGCGGTGGAGTGGCCCTCAGTCTAACAAGCCAAACATCCTCTTTATTCAAAGTGAAGAATTGCCAAATTGCGCAAATTAGCAATGAAGGAGCTCGGATGACGGAGGTCGAAGAAGGACTTTCGCACGACCTTCATCCTCTCAGGAGACGTTTGTCTCGGTGAGCGTGGAGTCTGCACAGCTGGGCTTCTTTAACCTGTTTTTCTACTCACCATTCCCACGGATGATTTAAGAGTTCCACCGCTTCACCCGAGGTCCAAGGAGGCTAATAAACTTTTCATTATCCCCGCCAGAGCCACCAGGAACAATCGATTATCGTTGTTATACGAGTGATGATAGTGGAGATAATTAAAAGGGAGAGAGATGATCTAACGCCACAATTAAAACCCAAACAGGGCGGTCCCAAGGCACTTTTCTTTGATTTAAAACCAAGTGTCCAAGTTCAAAAATAACTTCATCATCACCAAAAGGAAGCAAGCGAGCAATTTAAATCTAAATTTAAAGTGGGCGACACACTTGGAAGCCGCCTCTTGGGGCCACTCGAAATCTGTTCAAACCTTTCAACGTGCGGCAGGTGCCTTTGAGGGACGCGCCATCGATCAAACGCTTCAGACAGTGCTGTAGTGGTAAAATTAGAGGTGGGTAAACGCTGAATTTTGTGATCACACAGACCTCGACGCGATGCGAAGCAACGCAACACAAAGCGTCGCGACTCTGTAAGGCTGTCCTGGCTATATTGCATTATGTTATCAGTAAAAGTCATACACAATCAATGACAATGAATAAATGTGTTAGTAGTTTGTCGTTCATTAAATCTATGAAAACTGTGAAGAAAAGTGTGTCAACACAACACAACAACACAATTGCAGATTAAGAACTATCTACATACGGAGTCTCCTTTTTACAGTAGTGCCCAGAGGGCCTCCTTGTCCTCCACGTCAGGTCCTGCCTTGCACAGAGGAGCCATGAACCCCAGAACACGCGTTATGGGGTTCATGGCTCCTCTGTGCTTCTCCTCTCTCTATTGGACCTGGTGTTTCTCCTCTCCATGTGCTCTCTGCATCATTGCCTGTCCTCTCACTGCCTGAAAAAATATGTTTAATTTAAGAGTTAACCAGTTAAGCAGCCTGTCAATTACAATGACAACACCTTCTCGACCGGTCCGCAAAATATTGTCTGACATGAAACCGGTCCGTGAGGTAAAAAAGGTTGGTGACCACTGGGCTGATCCACAACGTGTGTTTACACACCTCCTGGATCCTGATTGGTGTCGCTGCTGCAGCCGCAAGGCACTGATTGGATGCTCACAGACCGTAATACAGCGCAGATGAAAATGATTCAGACTACGGCGTTTATATGTTCAACAATAGGAAACGTAGTCTAAGCTGTTTTAAAATTACACCAAATTTATTTCGGATTATTCCAACGGAAGAATACAAGGCGCAGGGAACTTTGAGGTGCGTAAACGCCACTTAGAGGTGCGTAAACGCTATTTCCAAAATTCCAGAGGTGCGTAAACGGCGTTTACGTGCGTTTACCCTCCACTACAGCCCTGGTTGAAGACACACACACGACCACGCAATCAAGCGCCGCCGATCAATTAGGCGAGTGAGCAGAACCTGCGACCACTTTATGACCCAAGCTGCCGTCCAAACCGTCCTAAATGTAAACGTGCTTCTGCGTGAGTTTAATCCGAGATATGTGAGTAACGAGCACCGATGTTGCCGTGGAAATGAATCCCGTTTGCGTTCAGGGGAACAGGTCTGTTCATGTAACTGGGTTTCTTTCTTTTGTGAGCGTCATTTCTCCTGCTGGGATAAATTGCCAGGACGCATGTAAATCGTTTTCGGGCGGCTGAGACTGGCCCCAAAATTGGCCGCCTCGTCTTCCGTACAATGCATGATGGGAAGGCGGGACGATAAAAGTGAACATCAGAGATTTAATGGCGGTTCAGCCCCCGTTAGGAGGTATCGGTGGCTGCAGGCAATTTTCTCTCCTCGCCAGTTTGTTCCAAATGTAACAATCAGCTTCAGTATTAAGCTTGGAGGCTGTGATGATGTAACGTCTGGAACGGGGTTTGAGTTCTCTATTTTAATTTGGAGCATGTATCTATAAAAGAATTCAGAATAAATCAAACTCTACAACAATCTGTGTTGAAGAGCTCCACACATCGCTCCAAAGAGCAATTTTTAAAATGCCGCTACTTCATTTCTATTTCATGCTTTTACTTTGCATTATTATGTAATATATTTTACAAAGAGCACGTTTTTCCAATTTCTGTGGTCTATAAGTTATTAACAGTCTCACCACCAGTGAGAGGTTCAAGACCAGAGGATGTGAAATGATGCAATGTTTCACAAATATGTGAGAAAAGTTCCATGAATCCACTTTGAACGTGTGTGGTGTAGTTCATACGAGGGTGCTGCAATTTATTCAACTTCACGTCCCTTTAGTTAAAATGAAAAGAGTTTGTCTTTTGTGAATAATTTGATTTTACTGGGAAAACATTTCCAGAAGAATCAAATGTTCAGATGAAGGCGGAAGCATCTATAAATCAAACA